AAAACTACAGTTGGTCAAATAAGTGCTGGGTAGCAAAGAAAGGGACTAAAGAATAGGGTGATGGACCATCCCGATATGGCTGGTTGGTCAATAACAGACTTCAGGTGTTTTCTCATGAGGTAACAACTACTTTTTTCCCTTTTATTACCCGAATAGCAAGGTTGATATTTTACAGCTGCAACGCCACACATCATGAATATCCACAAGTGAATAACTGCTGTGTTTTTAACAGTCACCATGGTGACATGTGGTTAACTAACATTCTAACAAGATGACAAAGTGATAGGTCCCTGCAAAACTGTTGAGGTTCAATGCATAACTGAGTTAAAATGTAATGTCTCATGGAAGATGGGGAAGTTTTACCACCCATCAGCAATTGCAACAGCAGTTGCTAAAGAATACTAGAGTAAGGAATTGAGGCTTTGGGGACCTTGTTGACACATGTTTGGCTTTTAAAATAAAAAGGTTTCACATCCTTTCCCTCAGCTCAGAAAGCCTTCATTGGAAGATCATTGTGAGCCTCTCTCGGTACTCGCAATATTCAGCTTCTTTATTAATAACCAAATACTCATAGCTAATGGCCACAGGGAAGACTCCAAATTATTTAATCTCTTTCACTACTAAGATCTCTTGGTAAACATCTATGAAGCCAGCACATTCTGGTTAAAAGGTTCTAAATAAGTCTTAAATCCCCACAATCATGCCCACACACACAAGCACAAGTGAAATCAAACAAATTCAACTTAGAATTCAAATGTTGCAACTCCTACAGGTCAGGCGACAGTGGCGTTGGATGCAAGAGTTTTCTCGGCAACCGGAGGTTGTCGGTTCAAGGCCTGGCTCTGACTTTCGGTGTTGTTTTGTCCTTGGGCAAAACACCTTACCTGCATTGCCTACTGATGGTGGTCGGAGGGACTGTTGCTGCCAGGTTATGGCAGCCACGCTTCTGTCAGTGAACACTAGGGCAGCTGTGGCTACAATATAGCTTGCCGCCATCATTGTGTGAGTGTGTTCATGAATGGTTGAATGATTGATAGTGTAAAGCATTGCGGTCAAGTCCTCTGACTTGCAAATGGCTATATAAGTACAGGCCATTTACCATGAGTACATAAAGCTCTGAAGAATTCTTCTATGTGAAATCATCTCCAGAGGTTATAGAGGTGTTCCTTTATTGGCCTATTGATTGTTTTTAATTCAGTTACTCTGATGCTGTTTCCCCAACAGATAATGGAGGAGATCCCACTCTCCCAAACAAATTTATAGTAGATATGTTGCATCTTGCTGCAAACACTGAAGGACCTACGCTTCTTTAGAAAGTCTTCTCTGTCCTTTCTTATAGCTTCAGAGTTGCATCTAGAGTCTGGTTTGTTGTCCAGCTACTCCTTCACTACCTCCACTTGTTGCTGAAGTGAAGTTGCTTGAGGACCCAAATGCAGAGATGAGTGAAGCAGAGAGGAGTTCTTGTTGATATAATAGGGCAACTGAGGCAGACATCCAAAAATGCAAAAATAAAAAAACAAAAAAACAGAAAACATCAAGGGAAAATCACGTGGGGTGCCAGAGACGAAGAAGCAACTAACAACAAGGAACCAGCAATGAGTGACTGCAGAGGTGGTGTATATAAGGGGAATAGAACAAAGGATGGACTAATGAGCTGAATATGGAGCAGGTGTGAGTAGAACTAACTAGAAGGAAGCCAAGGGGAAAGGAAACAAACACAAGGGGGCAACACAGAGTAACTAAAGACTGCTTGAATATAATTGAAAATAAACCAAAGATCAACAAAACAGAATAACTAATAACTGAAAACGAAAAACTCAGAGTCGCAAAAGGGGAGAACCATAACAAGCTGCTTGTTTGCTTGCTCAGGTGCTCTTGGACCTACATGATATGGGATGCAAATGTGTTGATACATTTTTTTTGGTGTATTAAAATGGACACGTGGTATGAGATTGATATGGAAAAAGGGTTTGCTTACAGACACAATTAACATGGTGCTTTATTAGTAATCCTGCACTGTCAATAGAGAAAAAAAAATAAATGAAAAAGTTGTGTCCTTTTTGTCCAATCAACAGGGAACATACAAAACTTTCAGGTATAAGATAAAAAGTGCAAACTAAAAATATATCAGAGGCTTAATAACACAAAACCCGCTGAAATATGTAGAAATATTACAACAGTATGACACAACTCACCCTGAGGACCTAGGTTCATAGAAGATTTCACAACGTATGTCTTTAGACTCAGGAAATCACCGTTTTGCACCACACATGCAGGTATTCTCCATCTTGCCTTTCGTTAATTAGCCTTCTTGTTCAAATTGAGGCAACTTTATTTTTAAAAGCATCAGATTTCAGAAGTTATGAGCATACCTGAATCAGAAAATCATTTGCTATTAATGACAACCATAGATTCTCTCTGTATTTTCAAGCATACAGATGGGGCAAGATTCATTTGAGCAAACTTGAGGAATGCAGCTAAATTTTTTTGTTTTTACAATTTTAGCCATTTTCTAACAAAAGTATTCAATAACAGACAGATTGATTGATAAACTGTATTTGTGCACCAAACATACGTAAACCCTTCTAAACCATCCAAACTCAGAACCTGCTTATCCTTGCAGAGTGACAGGGAGCTAGTACATATCTCTGCCTACATGTACATGAATCAATGTCCTACAGTTGCGTGCAAGCCACCAGTACCTTACACTGAAAACTGCCTCACACCATGTTCTTCTCATCTCAAAACAAACTGATGGTGTAGTGTTCAATGCATAGGCCGTGGCTAAATGCCTTACCCGGGCGTTTCTTAATCTCACAGTGAGTTGTTTAAAAACTGTTTTGATCATTTTCTGTACAGAAATCTCCTTTTGTCAGCAATCACATATCTTTTCCACCTTTTTGGTTCTTACCACGCTTACCAGAAGACTCAAGTGTCCATTGCCATAAGAATGTTTCACAACAATAAAGTTGCAAAGGTCTAGAGATCTTGGCCTATACCCATTATTATTATACTTCTGCAGTTATCTTAAGAATAACAAACCTTTTCATTGGCCATTAATTTAATTTGATTGATTTCTGAATAGAGAGACATTTGAACCTTTTTCTTGGCTTTTCTTCTCTATTTCACATCTTTTTATTCTCATTTTCAATCCTAGCATCTTCCATTTTCTCCCTTGAGCTTGATGAATTGCTTAGGATTCCCATTGACATCATTTGACGCTGTTGGCCCTCTCTAGAAATAAATTGTTTGAGAAAAATGTTGGTATGTTCAATAATTATTTTTGATTGAACTCCAACTCTACGTATTTTGATCACCAGAACTGCGTTGTCTTTGTGCCACATCACATTAAAGCGCGTCATGGAAACTTTATCGCAGTCCATTTAATTTCAATAACTTCTCCCATTTGCTTGCAGAGCAGCTAGAATATTAACTCTAGCTGACAGTTCTTGTCACTACAACATCATCTGTTATTTTGAACATGTTCTTTACCTTCATGCTAACACAGGATAATAACCTGAACACAGTCAGCTTTTATCTGAAAATGTAAAGCCTACAGTTTCCAAAAATACCTCTCAGTCGAATGTGCTGTGTTTGACATTACCTGCAGTGTGCTTGTTGCTTGCAGACTCTGTGGATTCTCTACAAATAGGGGAAATTTGGGGGATCTGGCACAGTGAGATGGAATTGTCACGCCTCGTTTTAGCCTTATCGTGTGGCACATTGAAGGTGGGGAAAAGTGGAGTTCAGTGATTAAGGATTGGAGAAGAAAGGGAACACTGGGATCTGGACTCGTCGGATCTTTATTTTTATCCCCAGACGTTACCAAACTTTCACTCATTACCACCACCCCACCCCTCGCTCTGTTTGAAGCTCTGATCTCTCTTCCTCCCACACTCTGTCTCCTGAGGTATCCTCCTTCCTGACATTGTTTCTTCTTCCTCTTCCCTCCCGCTCTCCTCCTCTTGTGTGGTTCATTTCTTTTACCTCTCTTTTTATCTTGTCCCCTGCTGCCGGTGTGGTGTTTCGTTTTCCTCTTCGGTCCCTCTGCTCTTAGCTGCCTCTCTTGGTTTAGCACAGCTGCCAAAGCCCTTCTCACTCACTTTCATTCTGCTTCATACACACATACACACATCTCATGATGACATACTTTTCTTCTTCCTCCCGCCTTCACTTCTGCCAACTTCAGACTTTTCCTCCCTTCGGTTGGTGTCTTGGGTCACTTCCCTTTTGCACAAGATTGTGCAAACACACCCGTACACGTGTACACACACGCTGTCCTTCACCTGGCGGTAAATGTTTGTTTTCTCCCACATCTTTACCCAGACAATTTGAGTTTTCATCTGCAGACACACATCGTCCTCCCCAGCACACACACTTTTACCCAGTAGCTCTCTCTCCAACACATTGGAACAGCCTCTTTCCTCTCACTCTCCTATCCTCCCTCCCAGATATACACACGCTCTCTCCCTCTCTCAGTCCTCATCTGCACCTCAGCACAGTTACACGCTGCTTTGTCGCGGCTGCGGAGCAAAGCGCTGAGCAGGGCTCTGCCGGCTCTCCATCACCCTGACCAATCATAAAGAGCACACAAGAAGCAGAAGCTGAAGGGGGGAGAGGAAGAAGCTGAAGCCTCATCTTCCTTCCTCGAAGTGCAAACAACCCTGTTTTACTGAGAGGAGGAGGAGGAGGAAGAGGAGGAGGAAGATCTGTTTTCACACTGTCCTGACTCAGTTTGTGACCTCCAGCAGAAGGAGCAGTAGAGGATGCATTGGAAACTGCAGGAGCTAGAAAGTTCTCTCTCTTTAACTCAGCTGCCCATCGATAAGTAGCAGCTGAGGAAACTTTTGTAAAAAGGAAGAGGAGGGGGGGGGGGGTGGACAGTCCAAGGGTGCGGAGGCTCTGCTTGTCCTCCTCCTTTTCCTGTCCACACTGTTTTTATTTTGGGTCGTATTTGTCAGGGAGAAAGCAGCATCGTTCTTTCCCAGCAGCTTCTCCCAATGTGGCAGGAGGCTCTGTGGACCCGTGGACGCTACCTGCTGGAGAAGAGCGATGGGGGCGATGGGGCCGAGGGGCCCGACAGCCTGGGAGATGGCTGCCCCGGGTTCCAGAGCGACATGTGTCTCGAGGTGGAGAAGCCTCAGGACTGGCTGTACGAGTCGTACTACAGGATGAGCCAGCAGCATCCGCTGATCGTGTTCCTGCTGCTGATCGTCATGGGAACCTGCCTCGCGCTGCTGGCCGTGTTCTTCGCGTCAGGACTGGTGAGTGTGTATTTGGGTGAGGTGTGAGTGTGTCCATGCGGAAGTAGGTGTCCATACAGCGCTTTAGAGGTGTGGTAGTCAAGCCGAGGGCTAGGAGGTCAGGAGGAGCTGAAGCCTGATGATTAAGGTAGAAAACAAACAGAACAATTCTGCCTGCATGCAAAAAGGCTATTTCCATATTTTAGGTTGCAAGCTATTTAAATTCCCTTTTTGGTCCAAAAAACTAGCAATGCCAAATGGAAATGGTTTGTATTTAATTTTGAAATGCAAAATAAAAAAATAAAAAATAAAGAGCAAAAAGCAAAAGCAAACCAAAAAATTTACTTAAAATAATATCAAAACAAGATTTAATTACTTTAAAAGCTTGAACTGGAAATGAAGAATATGTCAAAAGTAACTTTTTTAAACTAATTAAACTGACACCCCCTGAATGAAATAGTTCAAGTTCATTTTTTTTTCCTGTTCTCATAACAACAAAGGTTCCTGAATATTAATGCATGCACAGTTATAAAACTTGTATATTAAAATTCTCATATTTAACGTTTGCACTTTTCTAGCATACAGTTGGGTTCATACCCTTTAGTCATGGCAGATTTAGATTCATTTCCATTTGATAAATAAGTCTGTTTTTGATATGAAGCAAAACAAGCATCTCCCAAAGGATAAGACAATGTTAAAGGTGAATCTTTTTAACAAAAGACTATTGTTTATATTGAAGAATGAATAAAATGTTAAAATTATTTATGCATTCCTTAAAAATGTATAGAAATGTACTTATAACTTCTTCTTCTGCTTTCTTGTTTTGTGTTTTATTTGATGCGAACTAAAAGTAAAGCTGGAACAGCTCTTAGCCATTACCCTAATCTTTAGCTCCGTTTACATATTCTCTATTAGATTCAGTTAGGTGGTCTGGCAGGTTAAACGAAAAGCTTTAATATTACCTCCAGTTTGAAAAAAACAGATGATTGGTTAAAATGGAAACACCTTCAGGAGCGCAAATCATTGTCAGCCCAAAGAAACTTAAGCTGCTCAATGTTTTTGATTTCAAAGTTGGGATCGTGGCTCAACATCAATGGGTACTTTATAGAAATTACAATAAATACTAAATAATATAAAGATGGAACTCATTTATGTCAATAAACAAACGGTAATATCACTTAGACATAAAAATATATTCAGTAGTTTATTTTTATTATGCTAATATATATTTTTATAAGTCGTAATAGTTTGGGTCGTGAGCCCATTCTGGTACAATTGGGTGGATTAAAAAAAGAGATGTTTGGAAAACTCTACTCTATGTCATCTCTTAGAAATGTGTGTGACTTAAATACAGGACATCCATTTATTATCTTGCATTAATTTCCAGGATCGGGTCCTGGGTAAAAAATGCAGAAAAGCTGCCGATGCAGCTCTTAAATCACAGAGAGGTTGATGCTCTGCTTTGTTAAACTCCAGATTTCATTCTAGCCCAACTTCCCCTCTAAATGTAACAACATCTGTGCTGTATGTCAGTTATAGACATACGCTCCTCAGAGACAAAATAAAGTTTGAAAATACTCCAAAGCTCTTCTTCTGCTGTTTTTTTTTTTTTTTTGTCAGATACTACTCACAACTAACAGGTTCCCTGATGTCGGTATGACATCGTTATGATATGAGGTGTTAAAACACCACTTTTTCTTCATAGTATTTGCATAAAAATGCAAGCAAGATGTCAGATATTAAGATCCTCTAAAAACAGGAACAATTATATTTACAATTTCCCTTGTGTCTATACTATTTAATAAAAATCTGCATTTCTTTTAGTTTCAAATAATTTATTTGATATTTTGATTTCCAGTGAGCCCATTTGAACTGTTAGTGATTTTCAGGCATATTCCAAATAAGTCAATTTCTATTCTTTTAAAGTAAAAGCTCTTATGATCATCTTTCAACCCGCTGGAAGGCAGTGTGCAGCATCAGATAAGGAACAAAGAGCGTTATTTCTTTTAAAACTATCTGTTGTAGTAATATATACTGTAGAGATGAACTTGTTCTGGTTTAGAAACAGGGATGTTTAAAATCCTTTGCAGACGTCGTTCCCATGTCTGCTGAAGTATCGATGCTAAGACAGATTTGGGCTGAGTTCAGGCCCGTGATTATCATGTTTTGTTCCTCTGCAGCCTGCATATCTCCTGTAATGGTAGAAATGCTTTCATCCTGGCACACATGCTGGCTTTTAAAGTGTTTGCTGACCTCAAACTGTAAGGACTACCCTCCCCTTTAACCTACAGGATAGGTTCTCCATAACTTCTTCCTAGAATTTTTACTTTAGACTCATAAGTCTAAGGGGGAGCTTAATTTTTAACCCACATTCATCATAAATTAGCTCTATAATGAAACAAAATATGTCACAATTTCCAGATTAAGTTTGTTTGTTTTTTCTGAATTTTAGCCTTAAATGCTGGATTAGATGGAGAGGCTGTTCTTAATCACCTTTTAGTTAAGTGTTGCACCTTCTGTGATTTCTACAATTAATTAAGTAATTATAAAAAAGGAACTGGTTGATTTTCACAAAACTCACAATAACTCATTTATTTCCTGCTAGGTGATTTTTATTTCTTTCAATGATCATTTATGGGGAATAATAAGCCTAACAAAGCAGCATGTAAAAATTGACATCATCTGATCTTTTGCTTGAATTGTTTCCAGATTGTGAAGCATCATTATCAGCACATCCTCTAACTCAGAAGAACGGGATCATGTGACATTATGTATTCAGGAGAGTCTGTTATCTCACTGATTTATTCCAAGGAGTTATAGTCTGAATAAAATGTTTACCAAGTTCAGACATTTGCTTTCGACAACGACTCCGAAGTAACATCCAAGCAGCTGGAGGACATCCCTCGATTATCTGTAGCACATTTGCATCCATCAGCACTGGCTGATAGGTCGCAGTAATAATAGATAGAAAAACTCTGTTTTATGAGCAATATATAGGAAGAGTTACTTATCTAAGTTTATAAAATGAATTAGTTGAAATTGGATTTCTGTTGAAACATATTCCTGATAAAAGCTAAATGAAACCTCAGGTTATTGAAGATCGAGATCATTGTAAAATTGCTGCACATATTTAGTATCAGAACGTTGACTTTAACCAGTAAATACATTCTTAGAGTTAAAAAAAGTCAAAAATAGCTGATAGACTTACTGTCAGCCACTGGGCAGTAGGAGATTCTTATGATATAATGGGTAAAAATACATAACAACAGCTTCTCCATACACCAGTACTCCCAGAGGTTTTAAAAACAAAAGATTTGGAACATGATCTAAGTGCTGGTATGAAGCAGAAAACCATTGTTAACTACGTCTAAATTTAGCAGCAGCTTTCAAACCCTTACAGCTGGTTTATAATTAAAGCTGTGCTGAACAAGCCACTCTTAGTTTCTGTGATAGTTGGATAAAACGCCCAAATCAAGTCTTCTGGTGAGAAAAGATAATAGATATAGAAAACAATAATAGATACAGATAAGCAGAAAGTAGTCACAACAGGTCGGGGAGGGGGGGCTGCACAAAGTAAACCAGTGTAGTCTATTTAAAAAAATTTTTTTTTTATTGTTGCTCTTTAAAACATTGGTGTTCTTTCTTAACCATAATTGCCCAATGTCTAAGGATGAAGTACGGGTTGCATAAAGTCACCTATCTGTGTGAAGGACTACCATCCCTGCATGAGTTCATACCTGGCTTTGACAGCCGACGGTTCAAAGTGATTTTCTAGCTTCTGCTCATACTCCACTGTGAGGTAATGAAGGATTATAACTACACGGTATTATATCTTCCAGCAGGAGTTAATTAAATAGCTTTGGTTTAGTCTAGAGCGGCGTTCTGCATCCTACAGCTCTGAAGCCACAAGTGGCTCCTTAGAGCCTCGACAATGGCTGCTATTAAAACATAAAAAAAAAACAATTAATGGTTTAGAATACAGTATATTAATGAATATCAGCTATAGATGCTTTAGAAAGACAAAGTACCAGGAATATGTTTTTGTGAGTAGTTTGGAAAGTTTATTTTTTTATATAAAATGGTATCCTAAAGAGGAAAATCAATGCTTCCTCTTAGTGAAACTTTTTTTTTGCCCCCTATTTTAACCCTGTAAGCCCTAAACCATGGAATAATTAAAAATATGTATATATTTGTTACATTTTGTCAGAACTAATGTTTTCATTTCACATTTTAAAAAGGATAAAATGCTTTTTTTATTTTGAAGTTAGATAATTGACTTGTGTCATTCGTTTTTCATTTGGTATTTCTCTGCAACTCATTGTGGGTTTTCTGTTTACTGCATGTGTCCTATTGTATAAATCAGTTCTTTTAAGAACAAAAATAACACTGATGATATAACGTCTTAAAAACTTGAATATGATACATTTGGTGCTAAAGGGTTAAACAGATTTCCTATTGCAGATATTAAACATAAATAATAAGTTGTGTTTTATTTAAATGTAATATTTTGCGACTAAATTAGCTTAATTTTTTCTGTGCTTTGGGTAAAATGGCTCTTTGCAATTAAAAGGTCACAGAACCCTGGACTAGAATCATCATCTGCATAGTTTATAATAAATCCCTAACTTATATATTAACTGATTAGTGTAAAATGCGAGATTTAGGCCTTTTTAAGATATATCTCAAAATTTAAGTAAGATACTTAATACTAAGAGTAATAAACTTGCATGTAAATTGAGTAAATAAGTGTGAAATAAATGTTTCATTTATGAGAAAAAAATAAATGTAGGTGATAAAGACAGGATAACATGAAGGTGTTAAACAGCAAAGGGGGAATTGACCCAGACCTGCGTGAGTTGTTAGGATTAACAATACTGTTTTTTAACAATGTGGAAAAACTGGGTTTTATTACGCTTAAACATCTTGTGTGCCACGCAGCCTCCATTATGAACTACAGTTTTGCTTTTAGCACGGGACTGAACGGGACAGAGCTGATCAAAGGGGCCGATGGCATCCCTCGT